CACTGTCTGAAACTCAATTGTGACTCTACTGTGATTGCCCACTGTCTTACTTCTGGAGTGACCTATAATGGCTGATGCCCACTGTCTTAACACATTAGTGACTCTACTGGCTTGTGCCCAATTGTCTTAATCAGTAGTGTCCTACTGGCTCTGAATGCACCCTGTACTTATCACAGTAGGGATTCTACTCACAGTAACTATGTTACTATCCTAAACAGTAGTGATTCTCCTCACCGTAAGTATGTTATATCTTAACACAGTAGTGGATTCTCCTCACTGTGGGACTATGTTACTATCGTAATACAGGTAGTGATTCTCCTCACAGTGAACTTTGTTACTATCTTTAACACAGTAGGATTCTCTAACAGGACTATGTTACTATCTAACACAGTATGATTCTCATCACAGGACTATGATATATCTTAACACAGTAGTGATTTCTCTCTCAGTTGATTATTGTTACTGCCATAACGCAGTGGTGACTCTGTTCAGAGTGACTATGTTACTGTCTAAACACAGTAGTGACTCTCCTCACAGTGACTATGCTTACTGTCTTAACTCAGTGGTGACTTCTCAAGGAAATTAAGACATTGATCGCGATCAGCGAACGGAGGTATTGGAGCCCACACATTCACTATGGTGATTGGCCCACACGGTTTAGAGATATCAAGCTATACTATACTACTACTACTATTATACTACTACTACTAATACAACTACTACTACTACCTACTACTTTACTACTACTACTACTACTAATACTTAATACTATCTAAAAATATAATAATATAATTAATAATAATAAATAATAATAATAATGATATAACTTCATGTACAAGGTATACAGTCCCAGCTTATATCAACTGGACATTACTACTATATAGGAAAGCGCTTTTTATGCAGAGAATTTCGGCAATCTAGGTTCAGTTTTGTTCCCAGGGAATGTGGAACACACCAGTCGGACTAGCCTCCATTACCCATTTTTACTGATGGGGATCATAGACAACCGGTTAAGGAAACGCTCCAAAAGTTTCCCACCCCTTCGCCGAGATCGAACCTCCCGACCCCTCACTGTATGAAGCGAGAGCTTGTGCCACCAGGCCACGGGGACCGTGGTGGTCAGATGTTGCCGCCACAGGAAGCCAGTTAAATTTTGATATCTGCACACTTATGGAAGACCTTAGTGAATGATGGTGAAGTGTTGTTTAGGTGTGAGAGAAGGTCGTCTCGCACTCTTCCTCGCTGGGGTGACGGATGCTGTGTTAAACAACGATAGTAATAATAAAAATGTGATAATATTGTTAATTCTAAATGATTCATTATTTTATTATTATTATTATTATTATTATTATTAATTATTATTATTATTATTGTTATTATTATTATTCTTATGTTATTATTAATATTATTATTATTCTTATTATTATTACTTAGTTTTCACAAAATTGGGTAGATTTAGGGGTTGCCAAAAATTTCTCTCTTAAGTTTTCGTTTTTAAAATTACCTCATAATGCAAAAAACGCCTATCCGATGTGCTTCAAAGTTTTAACACCGTGGTCGGTATCTAGGACAAATTCTTGGAACAACTAGCATGTGCAGAAAGTGTCCTGACCAAAACTTGTCGAACTCATTTCAGTATCCTGGAAACGGCTCGATAACTTCCAGGAAGCCTCAGTGCATTGTTTCCCCCCCAACCACCCCTACCGAAAATAAAAGGCTTCTTTTTACTTGATAACAAGAAGTGAAACTGATGTGTAGAGGTCAGACTGGGCTATGTTATGTGTCCACCCCCCCCCCAGTGCGACATTTTTCTTCGGTTAAATACACGTGGAATAAATTTCAGTTTATCTCTTCTGAACGATTTCGATATTTAATGGTTGATGCGTCTTAGGACCAGGCTAGTGTACTAAACTACCGATGTTGAAGTACCATCATACACACTAAACTTTATCTGCCAGGATAGTGACTTACACTACCGATGTTGAAGTACCATCATACACACTAACTTTACTGACCAGGATAGTGGGACTAACCCTCTTTCTTTTACGATGTGGAAGTACCATCATAACACACTAACTTTACTGATGTAGCCTGAAAATCTGAAATTTTACGGAAATTGTTAAGAAAATTCTTGAAATCAGTGAAATAAGATCAATTAATGAGAACGCGTTCTCAGGTAGGCTTCAAACTTTCACCATTCGGTGCTCATTTTTGTCTAGCTGTGTAAACTTCTAAATTTGCTAATTTAAATAAATAAATTACTTTTTTTACTAATATAATGGAATGCTCGTCTGATCGGCTTGAGGTCTATGCTAATTGAATTTTTTTTTATTATTTTTTTTGGTTGTATAAATGATATTGGTGGACATTCTTAATCAATTTTATCAATTTGGATTTTCTTAAAAAGGAAACTAAAAGTTTTTTCTTATAAAATTGTAGAGAATTTGAAATAATATATATATATATTATATTTATATATATAATATATATATATATTTATTTATTTAGATATATTTATTTATTATATATATATTTTATATTATTATACTATATATATATGATAAATTATATATATATGAAACAAGTTCATTTATAAAGCAGTGTTGACAATAAAGAATATTTCCTTTGGATTATATATAAATTTGATCTCCATTTATATTTAATAGAATTGGGAAGAATTAATAATACACTGGGACAAATATTTATTTTTAAAATTTTCTTGGGTAGTATAGTTTAGGTGGGTTGTGCGAAGGCGTACCTGTCAGTTGGGTCGGCGCGCGTCAAGGTGTTTAAACTGTTGTGGGATCTGATAGTGAGGGATGGCAGACCTCTTATTATACTTCCTTGGGATGCTTTATTTCATAGTTCCTTGATTAATTTTTTGTGTGTAGTCACGAAAAGCGCTTGGAATTTCTCTATTCTTTCACAAGTGGTTGTTTTGCATTATATATTTATATATATATAATATATATTATATATATAGTCATATTATATTTATATATATATATATATTTATATATATTTAATATTAAATATATTTATTTATATATATTATATATTTAAATATATTATATACATACATTATTGATGGTTCCCATGTCCTCTCTACCACTCTATCATGCTGCCTTTGCTAATTCCTGATGTTACAATGAAAAAATTCGCCATGCCTTTATTCTAGATATGTTCAATATTTACTCATAGTGAAACCTGATCTAATCATTCCCTACCAATTCTAGAGCTCCTTGTTCATCTGCAATCTGCTTCTGTCTTACCTCAAAATTCTTTCATTAAATAACCCTCCATACACTTTTACTGGTATACTCTGTAAACATATTCTTCTATAATTTTTACAATCTCTTTTGTCCTCCTTCCCTTTATACTAAGGAAAATATACAAACATCTCTGTCAGCTCTAGGTAACTTCTCTTAAATACATTTATTAAACAAAAATTCCAACCACTCAACACTATATCCACACCGTTTTAACATTTCTGTCTTATCCCGTCAGTTCCAGCTGCTTTACCCATTTCAAGTCTACGTATTGCCTCACGTACCTCCCCCAACAACTCACATCCTGCTCTTCTTCACTCCACTAAAAGATGGTATACCTCCCTGGCCAGTGCATGAAATTAACGCTCCATTATTCATCGACCAGTTAAAAGTTCCTCAAAATATTCCACATCTACCCAATACATCACATATCCCAATCCTACTAACTCCCTACTCTGTTTTGACTGGACAAATCCTCATTCGTTACTTGGCTTTCTTATTTATCTCATTCCAATTTTTTTTCTTCATTCTCAGTAAATTTAGTGACAGTGCCTTCTCCACTCTATCTTTTGCTCTCGTTTTTCACTCTCTCAACAGTTTCCCTTTCTTTTAATCTCCATATACTCTACACCTTCTTATATCACTTTGACTTTGGTAAAACCTCTTTTAAGCTACCTTTATCTCGTTTACTGCAACCTTTACTTCATCATTCCACCATCACTCCTCTTCATCCTGACCACCCCCTCCATTAACCACAAATTTCTGCACCTCATTCTAATACTGCAATTTTTAAACTATCCCATCCCTCTTCAACACCCCCCCCCCACTACCCATATATGCACTTGCCCACCTTTCTGCCAATAGTTGTTTATATTTTCTCTATAACTTCCTCCTCCTTTGTTTATAAATTTTCACCTTTATCTTACTGATGCCATTTTTCTCTTTTTCCATCTACCTCTTACTCTAAAATGCTAGCTTCATATAAACTAATGATCGATTTATCAGTTGCCCCTCTTAACGTGTACATCTGGAAGCCACCTCAACCTTTTTTTCCACCCATATATAATATAACAACTACTCATTACGTGTTATATCATACCTTGAATTTTTATTTATCCTCTTCTTCATAAAATATGTATTATTTATTACCAAACCTCTTTCTACACATAGCTCAATTAAAGGCTCCCCATTTTCATTTACCCCTGGCACCCCAAACTTACCTACTACTCCCTCCACAACATTTTCTCCCACTTTAGGCATGGAGTGAAATCCCCACACTATTACTCTCACACTTGGTTCAAAACTCCCCTCTCACGTATTTAAAACATTTTTGTTATATTGAACGAGGACAGACTTTAATTTTTTCAGGATATTGGTCACTCTGAGATAACAAGAGAATGCCTCTTCAGTTAGGGTTCAAAGTTGGTGTGTATTGTGTTAAGGTTTATATGGTGTTAGGCTGTGTATGTCGTAATTTGCCATTTTTAGTGAACGAATTGTAATAGTAATTTCCAAATGATAACTTGTGAATGTTTCTTGTGATTCCTTTCAAATCTTCAACAATAATTTTAACTGTTGAGTTATTAGAATGACGCCTGCACTGTGAACCTGTGCCGCACTCTGCACTATTTCCATTGGCGTGTGTTGAGGTAGAGGAGATGGGTTATGCATTAAAACGGGATATTTTCCGTCCTTAGTTCTTGTTACTTTTCTTCTCCCTCCTCCCTTCAGGCTCCCCCGGCCCACTGACGCCGCCTGGGAGTGAGGGTGTGAGTGGGTACATGGGCGTGACCCAGGACCACGCTTCCCTACACCGCCCACCAATACCGGCCCCAGTCTCTGGCCTACCAGCCCTCCTCACCAACCATCACACCACCACCATCACCACGACCTGGCCGCCCTCCACGGTAAGTACCACCATCACTGGAGCCTGCTTCTCCAGGTATTCTACACATCCTATAGAGGCCTTTTGCAGGCCATCGGGAGGTCTTCTTCAGGTCATCCTGTTTGTGCTTACGTTTTTAACTCTCTCTCTCTCTCTCTCTCTCTCTCTCTCTCTCTCTCTCTCTCTTCTCTAGCTCTCTCTCTCTCTCTCTCTCTTCTCTCTCTCTCTCTCTCTCTCTCTTTCTCCTCTCTCTCTCTTTTCTTTCTCTCTTTCAGATGGTACTCCAGAACACAGCTGTCACCAAGGTAAGCTTTAATGATTAACACTTGTTTTGTGTGTGTGTGTGTTTGTTACGGCTGTGGGACTATTGTTACGACGGTAAGAATATTGTTACGACTGTGGTAGGACGGCTGATGCGTGACGCCATGGTGCTGAATCCAACATAGCCGCGGCGTCGGAGGTATCCAGTCGTCTTGGACAAGATTTCGGCGTCAAAACAGTGGAACTGATTCACTACACTGTGGGTTCCTACAGCCATGCTGGATGAGCTCAAATGTTTCCTCACATTTCGCTCGTTTCAGTCCTGGAACCTTGGTCACTCCATGTGTACCGTAAGCAAGGTCCCAGGACAGAAACTTACCCCCCCCCCTCCAAGAAAAAAAAATGTCTTAAAGAAAATGGAAATTGTATGGTCTTACCTGAGTGTTTGGTGGCACAGTACGTGCAAAAATATTCGTAAATAATACATGGAAGAATATATGTAACAGGGAAGATATAAGGAAGTTATTTATTGCATGTGGTAGTGATTTCTGGATCATCGGCCATGAGCACCAGTCTCAGACCAGGAGCCCTTAAGTTGAATGAAAAAAAATTATAGACATGAGTTCTATAAACAAAAGCAAAACACAAGTGTTTACGGAATGTAAATAGAAGCTGGCAAGATTGGCCTGTCATCTTACATGTTCGTGAAGCAGAAAGAAAAAGATCGGCAGTCCTGTCTCCCGTTTCACACTCAGTGACAAGACGGCAGCACCTTTCTAGAGGCTTGCTATCTACTAAGCCAAAAAGTAGGTACAGGTATGCTCGCCTGGTGGACCCGCGGTCGGGTTATTGCTCCATGCGGTGACCCGGTGGTGCTTCCCGATGGGGTAGTGTCGTTCATGTCTTCCTGGTATACTAGATCTTGTGGTAGTCTTCTCTCGAGGAGGAGGGGACCCTTCTTCCTCACCTAATTTGCAATGGTATATGCACAGGGTAATGTATGATCGGGGGTAAGACGTGAAGGGGTCAGCTGTGTTAACACCTCATTATCCGATGGATCGTTCTGGAAGGGAACTCTGTCTTTAGTCCTGAATATGGCAGTGTAGGGCAAACATTGCCAACCAATTCCACACCGAACTAGTTCCTAGGCCCAACATAGCTATCCACCCTCGCCTGTAGTATCAAGACGGATGAGCCTCACTTACTGTCCCTGATGACATCATAGAGTTACGTCACTCTCGGCAACACGTGCATGCATACGCTCAGGGCCCCCTCCCCACACCTAGAACCAACTCCCGCTCACACCCAACCACTGCAACCTTTTAGTTTTCCCCTGGATACTAATATAAGTATCGACGTTGACAACTAGTGTTGTGCATCACGGACCCCCCCACCACCAACTGGTCGACTACAACGGAGGACATCATGGATCCAATACTTACCTGGATGTCTTCCTGGAGGGCATTCCGGGAATTCAACGGCACAGGGACGGTACACAACCAGGCCTTTCCGGTGGATCAGGGCTGATCAACCAGGACTGTTACTGCTGGACGCAAGTAGTCCAACGTACGAAAACCACATGCCCACGGCTGAATCTGCACCGACTCTAGGTATTGACAGCTCCCTCTTGTAGGCAGCCAGGTCCCTATTGGTTAATTACCCTTATTACTTTTAATTGGGGGTATTTTGCATCGCGACTGCCAGTCTTTTACTCTTCGTTAGGAGTGATTTTTGTGTGCAGATTCAGGACCATTCTTCCAGGATTTTACAGGGATATATTATGATATATCTCATCTCTCCTGCGTGCAGCGAAAGTACAAGTCAAGTGTTCCAAGCGTTCCCAGTAGTTGGAGGTGCTTGATAAAACTTATCATGGGCAGTGATGAGGTTCTTGTTACACTCTCTAGATCTGCAATTTCACTGCTTTGAACGGAGATGCTATATGTACAGCAGTATTCCTGCTTTACGAGAGAACAAGTGATTGGAAAAGGATTCATCACGGCTTGGCAATCTCTTGTTTTGACGTTCTCATTATCCATCCTATCTTTTTCTTTGCATTGTGATCGTCGGCACTGTTGTGATCCTTGAAGTGAGATCTCAGGACTTACTACTCCCAGGTCCTTTACATTATTTTTACGCTCTACTGTATTGGCCAGAGCTTGTAGTATTACTCTGATCTAGTTGTTAATCTCTCAGTTTTCCCATAAGGGGTAGTGGAATTTTGCCCTCACTGAACTCTATATGTTTTCCGTTGCCCACTAGTAGGAAAACCCTTTGTTTACCTTCTTGGATGGATAGCTGTTAGTCTCGATAGTGACAGTCTCATGCAGATCTAGTTTCGTCTGCAAAGGGATGATACGGTGCTGTGGATTACATCTCTGTCTATGTTGTTTTTGAGGATGAGGAACTGGATGGGGGCGAGTACTGTGCCTTGTGGTAACAGAGAGCTCTTCATCTATGGCAGCCTCCGATTTAACTTATGTTGGCCACTATATTTGTTTTCGATTGGTTAGGAAGTTGGAAGATCCATTCTCCCCACTTTGACAGTTAATTCCTTTAGCACGCTATTTTGTGACGTTATTACAGCTATGATCGAAAATTGTCAAAATCCGCTCTTTGCAAAGTCTATGTTTTATTTCTCTGCAATTCTGTATTTTTCCAGTGCTCAAAATCCACATCATAGTGATACAGTAGTTGCGAGAGGCAGGTGGCGAACGGCCAATGAAACCATGTTGCCCTGGATTGTCGCAGGTTTTTGGTGAATCAGATGGTTTGCAATCATGCTTCTTAGCACTCTTCAAGTTTTTTATAATGTGGGACAGTTAGAGCACATGGTCTATTGTTTATCTTAGCTACAGCTTTGCTGCACCTTCTATGGAGTCAGGCTATATCCGTTGTTTTAGTGGACTGTGGAATTTCACCATGTCTAAGCTCCTTCCTCATATGGTTACTTAGGCATGTGAGAGGGGTTTATTGCAGTTTAATGAACACAGAGTTCCGGAGATCTGGGCCTGGGGATGATACTGAGTGCATGGGCTGTTGTCAATGGCTTTTTCAAAGTCTATCGAAGTTAGGGTAATGTCGGAAATCTGGCATACTATTGATGGTGTTTTGAGGCTTCATTCATGAAGGAAATTTCATTTGGATCGTCGATCCTCGAATGATTTTGTGGTCACTTTAACACAGAGTCGTACTGGGATTTTCAGTATTTCAACTCATTTCCTTGTTGTTGTCTAAGTCCCATCCTGTCTGAGTAAGGTTCGTTATAGATGTAGGTATTTGCCTTGTTTTTGGCTTATGAAAAAGAAACAATTTCGACATTTTCTTTTCAGTTTTTCATATCACTTTATGCTACTACTGTCGCTCCTTGGGTGCTGTAAGAGTCCTTTAACTTAAGTTCGATGTTTCATTTCATGGTCAGCGCTGCCTTCCGTGTATCTGCTAATCTAGTGTTCTGAGGTGCCAGTGATTCATTCGCCGTCTTTTTGTTAAGGGAGCGTCTTTCTCTCTCAGTTAACTCCTGTTTTCTTCTTTCTTTAGGGGAATATCTCCTAGAACACACTTCAGCATGCCAGAAGTTCGTTCCTTTCAAAGCCACTGGTTTGGATCCATTTTATTTAGGAAATCTTCCCAACATGTTTCGTTTAAAGACTTGGTTCACCTGCGTCCCAGTTGATGTTATTGTTGTGGACGACTACATGAGGAATCACGGACCCACCATTGGACGGCTACAGTGCGAGGGGCATTCTTTAAACCCACCAAATTACGACTGCAATGGAGGACATCTCGGAACCCACCTATGTGGCTACAGTGAGAGGGCCTCATGGACCCACCCTGATCACTACAATGGAGGGCATCTACTAACCCACCACTGGCAGTACTGTGGTCTGAGAAAACCTTTTGTGCCAAGGAGAGTAATGAAGATGAGCCCAGAGAACCTCCATCCTTCTACCCAGTGTGGCGTAACTGTTACGCTGGTGTCGTCCTTGGGAGTGTCGCCACTGTCGTCACCTGACGCCTCAGCTACCCAGGTCACCCCAGGTCACCCCTGGCCCTGGGTAAGACGATGATGGATTGAGGAGGGGGAAAGAGGAGGCTTGGAAAGATGAGAGGTGACGTACTGAGGATAAAAGGTGGAGAGAAGGAATGAGGTTCCTGGTAATTATCCTTACACATTTTTTTCTCTTGCCCTATTATTAGGGTTATTGTGATGCAACACAATAACCCTATTAATAGGGTTTTGTGTTGAATCCTGTGAATGAAGAGTAGATAAAAAAATGTTGGCTGTCCTAAAGAAAGGGGACATAATATTCTGTACTGCTTTAGATTTCAAGACATTCAAGACATGAGATGCTAAGCCAATGATGATCCTTTTTAAATCACTTTATTCTTTCTTAGGCTGGATAATTGTGTATGACATTAACATTCCCATTCAAGCAGTGGAACTGCAGATATAGGAATGTACAGAGAACCTTTACTGCCGTATAAGTTCCATTCAATAAACCTTAATCTATTGGAAAAGCCTGGAAGCAATTGAGTTTGTACTCATGCGAGCGCAGGCGAGAGAGATATATCATAATCTACAGCTGGAAGATTTGGAGGGACTGGCTCCCTAATATGCACACAGCAATCACTCCACACGATAGCAAAGACTGGGCAGGCGAGAAGATGCACAACATACCCCAGTCGGAAATGTAGGGGGAACGTCATGGTACACTAAGAGAGAAGCAATAAGTGTCGAGGCCCCAAGTACTGTTCAAC